GACTAGAACAATATTTATGAATAAAAATTAAAAAATAAAACATTAGGATCTAAAAGGTACTAGAGAATCAAAAGTCTCAATCTTAAAAGAAAAGGCTCATTTTAATTAGCATTATGACAAAGGTTTGAAAAAGTTAAGATTGTTCAAAACTGATGTTTTATGAATTTAAATATTTTTACTTTTTGCACTAATTTACTCTAAACCATGTGATAAGTAGACTACTCATTACATATAGAAACTACTATTAGGGAAATAAATACAATGCAGTTTTCCTCCCACAAAGAGGCTGTGTAAAGTTGGAGATGGAATGTAAACCATACAGTAGGTAAGGGACAACTGGGTTTGATACACGGCACTCTATGTGGCCCTGAAGGACTCCAGGAATAAGCCCTCAGCAACACCATATGGACAAAAAACAAAAACGAAAGCCACCCCAGAATGTAAGCAATTACCAACAAAACAAAAACAAATACGCAAAAACATGTTGGTACAAAGTTGAGAAATAATTAAATTTTACTGAGAAATAAAAGACTTAACAGACTTCTGCAATACTATAAATAAATCCCCAATTCAGAAAATAACTACACTAAATGCTGACTTACTTGTGTTTCCTCATTATTTTATGTGTGATTTTTCACTGACGTTAAAGAGTAAAATAATAAAATAAAAGAACCATTAAAAAATTTCAGCTATCATTAATTTCCAAATAGCAAAAAAGAATCCAAACAAACCAGTCAAGTCTGATAATTAGTTCTTTGTTAACCTAAAAATATATCTGGACTATTCTTTGAAGTACAACCACTCTCTGATTCTTAAAGAGTAGTAATGTGATTTTGAATATTTTTTGTTACATCAAAGATAAAAAAAATCTCACATCAGATATATCTGAGGGGTTTTCCATCTTGTTACTGAAAAAAAAAAATTACCCAAACTTTCAAGACTGGCACTGGAAAGTGTCTTCACACCCGAGCTGGAATACAGGAATAGAGTGACACTTTAACAACTGTCCAAGTTGGGCAGAAGACTCTTCCTGGTTCCCCTTATCACAGCTGGAAAAAGACTGTGATGTTCAAAAGTATAAATGAAAAAAATACAAAGAAGGAGCCAGAAAGACAGTATGGGGAGTAATGTGCTTAACTTGCATGAGGCCAACCCCAGTTTAATCCCTAAAACCTCAAGATTCCCAAGCACTGCCAGGAGCAAAAAGTACTGCTGAGTGTGGGCCAAATCCATCCAAAAGACACTAGAGAAATGAAATGAACAAATATAGTACCATGGATATATTTGTCATAAGTCACCATTTACTAATCTTCAGTTTGTAACCTAATCAATGTGTTTTCTTTTCTCTTTTTTTTTTTTTTTAGCATTGGAGTGTCTCTTTTATTTTTTATTTATTTTTTGCTTTTTGGGTCACACCCAGCGATGCACAGGAGTTACTCCTGGCTCTGCACTCAGAAGTTACTCCTGGCGGTGCTCAGGGGACCATATGGGATGCTGGGAATCGAACCGGGGTCCGCAGCGTGCAAGGCAAATGCCCTGCCCGCTGTGCTATCTCTCCAGCCTCATCAATGTGTTTTCTTTCTTAGTCACCTCATCCTTTTTACTCTTCAGTCACCAGCACAAAAGAATACCCTCCAACAGACACAGAAAACTATGAGAGGGGGTCACCACATGAACCACCAAATCCTCAGGGCAAATTTTCTAGGCTTCTGTTTCCAGTTTAGGTCCTGTCTTCCCTGAAACAGAGAATCCTGACTATTCAAAGTGTGATCATGTCATCATTCTTTCAGACCTCAAAGTTACATAAACAGATCCTAAAGGGAAAAAAATTGGGGGTTCACACTTAAAAACACACCATATGCAGTGTGAGGGATTGAATTCACGCCTACTACCTGCAAGGCAAGCGCCTTAACCCCTGTATTATCTCTCCAGCTCTCCCAAAGAGATTTTGTTAAATCTTAACACTTCTCATGAAGAAGGAAAGTCATGTCTTAAATTCTCTCTTTGTTTTTCAGCAGTTATAAGCTCTTTGATCAGAGCTCTTCAAGTCTGTGTTTTCCCTTTGAACATGTATTTCGCTTGCTTGTCTCTAAGTATCTATGGTTGCTTGCTTTTTTCCACTCCAGAGAAGCCTGTGTTCACTCTTGAATGTATACTTTTTCTCTTCTTTCTCCTCACATCTTTCTAAGCAAGTTTCATCCAAAAAAGCCGCTATGCTTCACTAAAACTAACAAACAAAAGTCTTCTTGATCAGACTAAACATGCAGGATTGTGTGTCCGAAGGCAGAAAGAGTCCACGGGCCACAATGCAAGATCTCCTCAGCACTACCAGAAAACAACCCCCAACCCCAGGCACTGAGCCACCATAGAGTATAGCCCTCAAACCAAACCCAAACTAGAAAACTACTACAACTACCATCCAATTTAGCTTTCACGATACAAGCCTAACTAAAGACAAAGACAAAATTAATCTTAAATAGTTTTTAAAATCACACATATTTTAAGAAAAGGAAAGTACCTACAAAATCCAATGACAATATAAAGTAGGCAAAATTTAGGCAAACTTTAAATTTAATCGTTTATTTGAAATCACTTATTTAATACTATATTCTAAATTAATGATTCACCAAATTATTCCTATACATATGAAACAGCTAAAAATACTAAATTGGCTTAAGGTTATCACCACATTTTCCAAAACTTCTAATTCTGGGAGATAATCACTTTATAAATATATATTGTTGAAAATTCAAAGGTATTTAGTCATTACAACTAACGCTGAAAACTGTGCAACTCTTAGAAGGAATATGTCTCAATAATTTCTCCAAGTAATATTTACTTTAGATAAACTCACCAAATTCATTTGTAATTTTCCTTTCGCTGTCTCATTATTCAGTATGCTTTCAAGGAACATGGTGATGAAAGAGGAAAAATACCTCTTTCTAACATAACCATACTGGCAAGAACATCAACATTATCAGTATTCAAAGAATGTCTTGGCAGGTTAAACCTTCATAAAAAGGAACACTATCTAATCCAAGATGTCAAAATAGCAATAGTACTTCCCACATTATGTGTGATATGATTGTTTCTTAATGCAAAAAAAAAATTTTAAAGATACCAATATTGTCAAGTTTCAATTTTAAGTAAGACAAAAAAATCTTCAAAAAAAAAAAAAAACCAGCCCTAGTGCTTAAAGAACTAAGAGTAAGAGCATAGTTAAAAGGACAAGGTTAAGACAAGACCAAAACAGTACTCAATGTTCAGAGAATTACAATCTGTTGATGTAATGTAGGAAAGACTAAAGCATATTTTAACATTTGAGGAACAAAGAAAAGCACCATGAGGAAATTTTACAAGTGAAAAAATATTTGTATTAAGAGAAAAAAAAAGTTGAAGACAAATTGATCTAATTCAGTTCATGACTTGTGTAGTAAATGCCAATACTAAATTTGATTATAAGTCCTAGTAATCTTACACTACTTTCATGGTATAATGCTCAGCATATGTGATAGGATTTTAATTGTATCTGAAATTACTGAAGGTCATCAAGGAACTTGTATCTGCTTAATGAAAGTTCAGATGCAGGGTCTTCCTAAAGTAGTACAATGCAGTATCTGACAAAGCACTAACTATTCTCAAATAAAATTAACTAACTGACGATCTCAAATTGGTCGGGAAAAACATAACATACCCAAAGCTCTGAGGACATGTGTGTGACTTTACTCATTTTCATTATAATAATCATGCTTTTCTTCTGCTTTTTCTTAATCAAAACTTTTCTCTTTAGTTATCTTCATTTTTATAAACATATAGAGTTCTTCATATTTTACCTTTTCCACTTCTTTACCCTTTCTGATCACTGTTTCTTCTGTCCTTGATCTTTTTTAAACGTGTGTGTATTCAACTTTTAATGACTAAATGTGCTGTGGATCAAGATGTCATAGGGTTATTTATATTAATAGGATGAGTCTTCATCCATCAACATCCTGAGAAATCATAGCCCGGCAGAACTGGAAGGAATCTCAAGGAATCATTTGGTTGAACTTTATGCCAACATGAACAGGTGGCTAACCAGTCTTAAGATATTTTTTTGCCTTTTATCATTTTAAGATTTTGACCATAACATTTCACCATGGTGTAGTTTAACATGAAGTCTTGATAACAAGTAAAAAAATATGAAGTAGAAAGAAAACTAGATGGAAAAAGGGTCAGCCCTAGTGCTTGTTATAAAATATTAAACAATTATTCTGTTCACTGAATTTCAAATCCTTCATGCAAATAGAAACAAAACTAACACTAATTTTGTAAGTTCTCTGAAATGTTCAGAAAAATTATATAAATTAAAATGATAAGACAAGACAGCAGGATGACAATTTCACAAGCAAAAGATAAATCTCTCTGAGCTCAGTTCAGGGAACAACTATAAACTCGTTATAAGGTCTACCTTTTCTGGTTGTCGCAGGGATTACGGGAGCTTAATGCACCTAGAATAGGTCTTGGCACCATGTCAGCCTCCCATAAATGTTAACACTCTCCTCCCCACATTTATGCTGCATGGTGCTCCTCCACTGCCACTATTTCAAGTTAAACATGGGAAATTATATGAAAAACAGAATAATCAGAAATATGCGAACTTTATTTCTCTAAGATTCATCAGGAAACAAAAAACTTCTAATGGTCCTGCTTTGAAAAGTAGAGAGAAATGAGATATTTGTCTTAACTTTTAGGATATTTCTCAAATGGAAATGTCTATTGGTGAAATCACTGATCTGAGAAGTCTAAGTTAAAGGTTTAATCACATTTCATATGGATATTATATAACAAAGTAAGGGTGTTCTTACATAATAAAAATAAAGCTTAAAAACATGAACAAAATTTTAAACTACTTATCTGATTTATATAAAATACATTATATGTTATGTCTTTATATATCTTTATACCAAAAAATCTTACAAAAGTCAATAATAGAGTAGAGATTTGCTTATAATAATGCTTACCTTATTATGTACAAAAATGATCCGTAACTCAGGTTTCAGAATAGCATAGCTCATGAGCAGGTCTAGAATCTTTTTTATTTCATCTTTACATTTTTTAGCAGTTGAATAAAATTGCTTCCTTACAGGCAGATTCTTAAATAATTTTGACACAGTTACAGTTGTACCTATTGGCAGATAAGATGAAGCATATTTAGCGGGAAGAGCCAACAGATTCTCAAGTCCAAATCCTCCTTTTTAAAAACATGTTTATTACATAAAGAATTCTAGGTTGACAATATTTTTAAACAACCTTAAATCTGTCGTTCCATTTTCCTTAGGTTTCTGTTGCTGATGAGAAATCGGTCATCATTCTCAATGCTGCTACCCTAAACATAATGTATTTTTCCCTCGTGCTGCTTCAAAATTTTCTCTGGTCTTCAACAATTTGATTAGCCTGTACCCCAGCTTTGACTGTATTTATACTTATTCTACTGGGTTCACTGAATTCCTTGAATTAGTGGCATGGTGTCTTGGCAATTCTGGAAAATCTCTCTATTCTTCTCTCTCTCCTGGGATTGAAATCCCATGGATGCTACACTGTTCAATCCACAGATTCCTAATGCTATGTTATCTTTCTTCACTGTTTTATCTTTTTTTTAGTGTTCAAGGAACATTTTTCTTTTTTGGTTTTGGGGAGGTCACACTCAGCAACGCTAGGAAGTTACTCTCCACTCGGTTCTCAGGGGTCACTCCCAGTAGTGCTGGGGAACCAGATGGTACCAGAGCGCAAATAGCATACGAAGCAGGCACTCTAGCCCTTTGACCTCTCTCCTAATTGACAGAATTTCTCCCCCCCCTCTTCTTTTTCCTTATTTGTTTTAAATGAAGCAAGATAGTTTCTATTGGGTGAAATTTACTTTGAAAGATGTGAGTGGAAGAGATGGAAAGAAAGACATGACATGAGAGAACGGGAGCTTCAAAGAGCAAGCAAGCAAAGAAAACAGGGAAAGATTTGTTTTCCAAGGACAGCACAGGCTTGAAGAAGCAGGCCCAAAACTGATCATAATTGATCAGATCTCAGTTCACATACCGTTCCTTTGCTACGTCTAGTATGCCATTTAGCCCATCTAGTCTTAAGACATTTTCAGATGTAAAATTTTTATTTATTTTTTTCTAAAGGTCCATTTCTCTGCTGAAATCATTCAGTATCTTATTGGTCTTTATTTGGGGGGGGGGGGCGGCAGGGTTGAGGAACAACACCTGGCAGAGCTCCAGACTTAGTCCTGACTCTATGCTCAGAGATCACCTTGGTTGGCCATAGGAAAGTATATAGGGTGCCAAGGATCACACCCAAGTCAGCTGCAGGCAAGGCAAACACCTTCCCCACTGTACTACTGCTCCAGCCCCTCATCATCTTACTGGTCTTTACTATATAATTTTTACTGAATTCTTTATTAACTTAAAGATGAATTTTTTTTTCCATTTTGAATTTTGGCCCACACCTAACAGTGAGGACTTACTTCTGGCTCTGCACTCAAGGATCATTCCTGGCAGTGCTCAGGGGACCATGTGAAATACTGGGAATCAAACCCAGCTCAGATGCATGTAAGACAAGCAGCCTACCCCTGTTCTATCTCTCCGGATTCTGGAAGTTCTTAACAGTTTTGAAGGGGGACGGGGTATGAGGTTTAGGTGGTGGTGCTTAGAAGTTGCTTCCAGCAATGCTCAGGAATATCATGTAGACCAAGGAATTGAACTTGGGTTGGCTACACCTAGGGAAAGCACCTTAACAATATTAACTCTCTGGACTCCAATGTCAAATATCTAAAAGATTGACATAAGGTTTCTTCCCCCACTAGCATGTCTTTGGGACCTAGGAACCACAAGATTTTAAAGTCTTTCATTTTTAAGAGCTTGTCATCAGATATGTTTGTATCTAGAAACAATTCTCCACCGGCAATTCTCAGAGCTCACAAGTGAAAATTTACTTTCATTTCTCAGGACCTTTATTCTTTTTGCCTCCATAGAATTACTCTTACTCTACATTAAGAATTTGGGTACAGCACTTTACTTGGACAAACCTATTCTTAAAAATGAGAAACTAATTCTATGGACAAAAATTTTTTTTCAAGAAGTTTTATGGGTATCTAACACCAGAACAATTCACATCACTGCATTACCACTGGGCCCTTAGAAAATTACTCAAGAGAATTTTCACTCCCATATTTAGGTAGAAGCTATCACTTCTGTTTGGCCCAAAGTAGCTTCAGAAAACCGACCTCTGACTATATGCACTTAAAAATTTAAGGGGGTGAAATATCTACGGGGGGAATCACAAAATAATTAAGGTTGAGAGGGGATTTGGAGATGATTTTCAAAAAAGTGTATAACCAGTAATTGATCTTAAAAGGGCTTATTCTGTGCAGTCCCAAATCTAGACTCAAGACTAAAGATAATTCAGTTCAGACTTCATACCAGTCTAAAGTTCGGTCTCCTGCCAGCCATCCCCCAAGGCTCATTCCCTAAGGAGATCATTCACTCAGCAGAATGAAGCTTGGTTAAGACTCTGAATGAAGACCACCAGAATTTAAATTTCTTGACCATATCCTAGCAAATTATCCTTCTCTGCACAGAATCCCAGAATAGGATGGATGGGAAAAGGCCTGAAAAATCAGCTTCCCAGGGCAACTCTGTATGCCCTGGAGTTGCTCACATCCAGGTCTGTGGTATGTAACTCTTTATTGTAAAGGTTTCTCTCTCCTCCCCCACCCCCCGTTCTATGTCCTAAATAAAATTATTATGCATCACCAAAAAAGAAAAGAGAAAACTTTCCTTCTCTCTCTCCACCTCACTCCCAACTTTATCAGATTATTTAAAAAAAAAAAATACAGGTAAATTTTGATACTGCAATAAACTAGGTCAGGGTTTGAGTATCTCATCCTCTAAACTGTCATCTCAGTTTGCATGTGCCTATTAATAAATTCAGCTCATTTATTCTAGGCCAATGGAAAGATAAAAGATTATCTCTAATCTCTAGTGTGGTTTTTTGTTGGCCTATGCCTCCACAACCAGTAAATGATCTTACGGATGTCAGGACCGTAAAATAGTAAAAGGGAAAAGGGTACCTTCCTCTTGAACTTAGTTGATTTAAAGTTCTTTTCAGTCATTTTTCTAGATTTTAAAACATACATTTTTAAAGTTATGTGTTTTCTTCCCTCATTACAACAGAGAGCAGTGGTCTCTAGAAGTCTACATTTGCCATTTTTCCTTTGTTGACATCATATCCCCACCACTTCGTCAAGCATTTGTTTTTTCCTGAAAAAATGGCTAACTTTCCTCTAAGCAGCTTCTTCATTTTACTATCATCATAACACCATTTCTTTAGGCATCTCTGTTCTCCACAGATGTAGAAAATATAATGGCATCGATATTATATAGTGTGAAGAAAGGCAGACAGAAATCAGTAGTGCAATTATGTAAATGTGCTAAATGAAGGAAAAAAGTGCATTGTTTTAAATACATGCTCTGCATCAAACCCTACATTACACCAAATTCATACTGTTAAGTTATTGCTACATCAGATAAAAATGTTGTCTTTGGGGTGAAAAGAATTCTTTGAATAAACTATAAACTATAATTTATAAAAATAATCCCAAGAATTTTATGTTTGTAAAAAAAATTTTATCATGTAGAGATCATGTATATCTCTGAGCTAGAGAGGTAGAAAACAAGCTTCACCTGTATAGACCCCTGGTTTGATGCTGGCCTCCTTCCTACCAAAAAAAAAAAAAAATACAAACGCACAAAACCATGTTAAGTCCAAATGAAATATATATCCTTAGAGAAAATAAAGTACCAAGTAGTACTGACCAACACAAAGTAAGCCCCAGTAACTATCATATTTTACAAGAGAACTTCTCAGCTCTCTAACTTTAGCACATTCTATAAACACCAGAATTAAACTGTGGTTATGAATATGTCCCTGTTATATTTTTACATGACCTTATGTTATACCATTTATAAAGGCAGCTATTTATATGCGTAATATGAAGAGTGATGATTGAATCTATCTGTTTCTTAAACTATTTAATAAAGTTCTAGGCTCCAGCTGAAAAAAAAAAATCTTTCAATGCATGCATAGTCATTCATAGCAGGGAATTACAAGAACATGATGGTCTCTTCTAATAAAAGGGTAGGGAAAGGAAATACCAGAGTACTTTAAATGTACTACTTTTAATATCTGAGAAATTCCTAAGGCAGAAGTACTAGGAGGTGTTAAAAGAATTTGTCCAGGCGGGTAAATCAATTTAGAAAGCTTAATACTGATTATGTAGGGTAAAGGGAATAGAAGTGATGACTGAAAAAAGGTATGACTAAAACAAGTAACAGCCGCAGTCCTTCATAAATCAATTTAGAAACTGGAGACTTAAGCTTTACATTCTTATTTTTAAAATGTCTTAAGTGAGAAGTAAATGAAGGTAAGAATAACCTAAAACGACATGCTGCTAAAAGTATAGATCATTTCAAACAGTGAATTAATCCATATTTTTCCCCGGGGATTATACACTCATAAAAAAAAGAGGGTAAAAAACTTTGGTTGCCTAGAAGAGTTTTTAAATTGTCTCTGCACTTACATTTAGGCTATCTACAGCTATCACCCCATCAGATGATATAAAGAGTAACTACTAAGCAAAGATATTCACACCACAACAGAAATTCATCTACAAGAACTCTAAATGCATAGGTATTAATTAGGATTGGTGGAACTGCAGTTTTATCTTACACAGAAAATATTTAAATGGAAACTGAATGACAGCTGGTCGTGAAATGTGAGTCTGTGATTCACTCACTCAAAAAAGTATCAGCACTAAGGCAATATAAATGAAAAGTATTTTTTAAAAGTGTTTGTTTAAATTTCTGAGAAATTTAAAATTAAGAGCTTGATGTTTATTGTTTTCTTAATCAGGCATTTATAATTAAAAGGAAAATAATGTTATAAAAACATTTTATAAAATAATGTTATAAAATTGTTATAAAAAACAATTACTAATTTCATAATTATTGATCTTCCTTGATATGTCATATATAGGAATTAGTTATATAAACTTCATTTACAGACTATAAAAATGCATTACTATGCATACATGGAATTACAGAGCATCACTTATTAAAAGTAGAAATCTAAGACAGCAAGAAAAGTTAATCAGCAAATGGGCAAAGATCAGAAGCATTCCATATTTAAGAACCACTATTTCATAGTTCCCATGGAGACAGATACAAAAAAGCATGAAAATATGAGCAATGCAGAGCCTCTAGCCATACAGATTAGACTGGCTACCAGTTAAGATAAAATCAAGTTAAGGTTTGTAATGTCACTGAATGACTCTATTGGATAGCCATTCAGATATACCCTAAGAACAAGAGTCAAAAATTTCTGGAGAGATAAATTATTTAAAAAATGCCTTCTCTTTGGAGCCAGTGTATGGGGCACCTGTCTTGCAAGTAGCCAATCCAGGCTTGATCCCTGGCATACCATATGATCCCCCAGAGCAATATCAGGAGTGATCCCTGAGTAAGCCCTAACCATTGCAGGGTGTTGCCCCAAAACAAAACCAAAAAAGCTTCGCTTTGTCCTAATCTTCATAATATTAAAGAGGAAAATATCATAGTCCATTATTTTAATTTTAGTATATGCAATATATTTTAATATTTATTAAATAAAAAGTATCATAATTAATTCATTATTAAATAAAATATTCAACACATTATCTTAATATGTACAATATAAATTAACATCAGGCTTACATTCATTAATATTAATTGAGTAAGTGTGTGTGGGATGTGTATGCTTTCTTAGGCATTTCTAGTAACACTTTTTTCCATGAGGATATAAAATATTAATTCCTGGTGTGGATACAAAATATTAATTTCTGGGTTGGAGATGCAGCTAGATGGTGGAGCTCTTGCCTTGCATGTATGATGCTCTGTGTTTGATACCCAACACTGAAGACAAAAATAAAAAGGGATGGAAAGATAGCTCAATAGGCTAAGCTATGATTTGCATTTAGGAAGACTAAGTATTGAGCCCTTAAACACTCCTCAACATAGAGTTCAATCTTCAGCATTTCAGTCCTCTGTGGTCTGCCTGGAGTAATTCCCTACAGTAGAACCAGGAACAAGCCCTGAGCATAAGCAGATGTGGCCAAAACTAAAACCAAAACAAAGTAATCAGCAATTTGAGGATTCATAAACTATACGAAAGAATAAGGTCATGTGGTGTCAGTAATAGGCTACATATTTAGGGGCTCAATACTTAGTCTTCCTAAATGCAAATCATAGCTTAGCCTATTGAGCTATCTTTCCATCCTTTTTTAATTAGAATTCTAACTTTAATTAATTTAATCTCATCACTGAAACTATTTTCATGTAGCTTCAGATCACCAAGCACTACTTGGTATGAGCCAAAAAACTTAAAATTAAAACTAATAATAATAATTCTTAATGAACAAAAGCAATCAGCAAGGCTAGAGAGAGATCACAGCCAAGTAAAATGTTTGCTTCGCATGTGGCCAAACCGAGTTCGATCTTCAGCATTTCAGTCCTCTGTGGTCTGCCTGGAGTAATTCCCTACAGTGAACCAGGAACAAGCCCTGAGCATAAGCAGATGTGGCCAAAACCAAAACCAAAACAAAGTAATCAGCAATTTGAGGATTCATAAACTATACGAAAGAATAAGGTCATGTGGTGTCAGTAATAGGCTACATGAAAATAATTTCAGTGATGAGATTAAATTAATCAAAATTAGAATTCCAATTAAAATAAACCTAATAATCTAGCATTAAAACTGGAAAACAGAAATCATAGGAAAAATACAATATTGAAAAGTTACAAAGAACTACAAAATTAACTTGCATGAATTTACAAATTAAAGGAGGATAAACAACAACACAACACAAGTCCCTTTTCAGATCCTTTAGAACATAATCTAAAGACACTCTACCTTTTATATGCTCTGAACTTTAATTGTCCCATTACCATAAGTTAGCAATATGAAAAAAGACATGTGGAACTAAAGCCTGGAGGAATTTTTTTCCCTTTAGAAATCAAGAATATAAGTACTTAAAAATGTGAGTCAGTTAAGATGTAATAAAAGCCCGAGACCTAAATATAAATAGCAATAATTGTTTATTTGCATCAAATATACAGAAAGAGAAGAACTTGGGTAAGAGATGAAACAATGTCAGTAATGAATTAAAACTTATTGAAACTGAATGACATTATTCTATTGTGACTATGTCTGCAGTTTTCTAAATTATTTATTCAATCTAGTATCTTGAAGGGGCTGGAGCGATAGCACAGCAGTAGGGCATTTACCTTATGCGCAGCCCAGGCCCGGTCGAGCCGGGTTCAAATCCTCTGCACCTTTCAGAGAGCCTGGCAAGCTACCGAGAGTATCTCGCCCGCATGGCAAAGCCTGGCAAGCTACTCATGACATATTCGATATGCCAAACATAGTAACAACAAGTCTCACAACGAAGACATTACTGGGCCTGCTCAAGCAAATTGATGAACAATGGGAGGACAATGCTACAGACAGTATCTTGATGGTATCAAATCAATATTATTTAAGACATTTCAATATAATATTACCCTTCATTTATAATGAAGACAATTGTGATCCAATAATAGCAAAATGATGTTCTCACAGGTTTTCTTTGTTGTGATTTTTGTTTTTGAGTCACACCCCATAGTGTTCTTGCTTACTCCTGGCTCTGCCCTCAGGGATCACTCCTGGAGGGATAGCTCCAGGGACCATATGAGGTGACAGAGATCAAACCGAACCTAGGTCAGTCCCACATGAGGCAAGTGCCTTGCCTGCTGTATGATCATGTCAGTCCTTGTTCACATAGTTTTAACAGGTAATGAAGACTGTTCAAAATCTGACACAGCTAATACTGAGAACAATACTAAGTATTTAAGAAATTGGAAGCTAAATTAAAGGCTGATAATTCACTTGCAAGTTCACTGATCTTGATAAGTGCAAAGCTGGAAGAATGTCTTTAAACTGTAGAAGTGCAAATTTTTTAAAATAAATAATTAAAATAGAAAAGATAAAGAATGCTACAAACTTACTCTCTTACCTTGACCAAGATGAGATGGTTTTTGAGAAACTATATGGCCACCGTCATCTAAAACATACTGGGTGCTAAAATTATCAGCAGCCGTTCTTGTTGTAATTACGACCTGGAATAAAATAAAATGAATAATTTCAATACTTTAAATAATTAATAAAAACATTTACATAAAAGTTCTTAAAATACTTTTATATTAGATGACTGGTTAAAGAAACTTTGGTACATTTACACAATGGAGTACTACGTAGCTATTAGAAAAGATGAAGTCATGAAATTTACATACAAGTGGTACTACATGGAAAGTATCATGTTAAGTGAAATGAGCCAGAAAGAGAGGGATAGACATAGAAAGACTGCATTCATCTGGGGAACATAAAGTAACAAAATAGGAGACTAACACCCAAGAATGGCTGAGATTAGTACCAGAAATTTTGCTCCATGGCTTGCAGGCCAGCCACACATGCTAGGAGAAAAGGCAGCTCAGATAGAGAAGGGTGCACCAAATAAAGGGTGTTGGGAGGATCCTCCCAGGATGGAAGAAGCATGCTGAAAGTAGACTATAGACCAAACATGATTGCCACTCAATGCCTCTTTTGCAAACCACAACACCCAAAAGGAGAGAGAGAACAGAGGGGAATGCCCTGCCACAGAGGCAGGGTGGGATGGGGAGGATGGGGGGTGAGAGAAATACTGGGATCCGTGGTGGTGGGAAATGGGCACTGGTGGAGGGATGGGTATTTGATCATTGTATAATTGAAACCCAAGCACAAAAATGTGTAAGTCTGCAACTGTACCTCATGGTGTCTCATACTGTTATACTAAAGCAAGATCTAGCCCATCTATTTTTATATTACAAATTACTGGTTTTGAGTATATTACTTTAAAATTCTCAAACACAAATCTGCATGCACAAAATGGCTATTTATATTACATGTATTATATGAGTAATATCTACAAAATGAAATAATTCAACCACATCAGAAACTCTTCTTGCTTTTTGACATAAATTTCTATAAATCTGCTGGTAAAATGAATAAGCCTTCCGTAAAGTGGATAATCTTACAATCTTTTATATTCCATGTACAATGCACTTCTGTATTTCAAGTTAATGGCCCCAAAGAAAAAGAAAATAGAAATCATACACAGGATTATGAGAATTTCTTAAACACAAACTTCAAACTCACTGCTAATACAAGCCTATTAAAATACTTTAGTGTAAAAACATGTAACTTGAGGCCAGAGAGATGATGGGTAAGGCTGTGCATGTGGTCAACTGGAATTCAATCCCTAGCACCACCAGGAGGTCTTCCCGGCCCACCAGGACAGATCTTTGAGTGCACAGCCAAGAGTAAGCACTGAGCACTGCCAGGTATGACCCTAAAACAAACCAGAAAAGTAAGTAAAAAATTCATTCACCATAAAAACTATTCTCTACAAAGAACGTGAGACCTGCTATTCTGTAGGAAACAAATCACTTGAGAGGTTTGGTGCATAGGACTGCAGTGGAGGGAAGCAGTCCGTTGTGGAAGGGAACATTCACTGGGAGCAGGAGGTGGTTCTAAAAGGTGGTAATGTGTAATGCATGAAACCCTATCAGCAACTGCACTCTAACTCATATTACAAAAACACATAAAAAACAATTTTGTACAGAAGCAGACTGATGGGTGGAAAGCAAATGGGAGGGGAGACTGGTGGAGGAAGGTAGACACTCCTTCAAACATTTAATGCCTGAAACCCAATCTGGAATAACTTGGTCATTTCACAATGACTGAAAATACAAAACATACAAACAAACAAACAAACAAACAAAAAACCAACCTATTTTCTGGTCTAGAGAGGGGCTGAGTACTTCTTTGTAAGCAAGAGGCTCAGGCTGACCCCAGGCAGTGCAAGGTCCTTTGAGTAATGCTGAGAGCAACCCCGAAACCAGTCAGGAGGAATCCCTGATCACCATCAAGGTGTGTCTCACTCAAAAGGAAATATCTAAATCGGTATTTGTACCCTTTTGATCAACTCACAAGTCCCTGCAGTTTTCTATTCACCTATTTATAAGATTTAGAAGGTGAGTTGTTTGACATTACTGTATCACTATCAGAAAATAAAAGGTGAGGTATGGGAAGCTGCAAAGAAAGCAGGATGGATTCAGAAAAGGGTAACCTTGGGGTTGGAGAGATAGCACAGCGGGTAGGGCGTTTGCCTTGCACGCGGCCGACCCGGTTTTGATTCCCAGCATCCCATATGGTCCCCCGAGCACCATCAGGAGTAACTCCTGAGTGCAGAGCCAGTAGTAACCCCTGTGCATCGCCAGGTGTGACCCAAAAAGAAAAAAAAAAAGGGGGGGGTAACCTCCTCAAAGTTTTTTTGAGCAATGATAACCCAAAATTGGGAAGAATTTTTCTTAGCCATCCATAGACATGGCAGAGTAACTTAAGAGAAACCATAAAAACCCAGCTCTACTGTTAGAACTCCTCTTGGTTCTTTCGGGACCATGTTTGAAGGCTCTGTCGCCCTGTCCTAACTACAAATTCACTGCCGACCATTAGGGCTCCACAAAATACAGGGATATCAGGCAGAGATACCAGTCTTCGCACATGCACAAAATGACCTCACTAGCTCACAGCACTTGGAAGCTCTATTGGATTTTCTCTGCAAATAGTATACATAAAATCCTTACTCAGAGAACTGCCTCAAGCTTCTTGTCCAGTGATAAATAATCCTCCCCCTAGAAGTTGCAACTAATACAGAAAAATGTACAAGCCTCTGCATACACTTCAGTGGTCATTCCACATCTTCCAAAAATGCTCTGTATGGTTCAAAAGCCACATACTTTTAAATGCTTTCCCGATCACCTACATTTCCCAGCTATACCCAAACTTAGCTGTGTGTGCAAGATGATTTATTTCCCCTAGTAAAATTTATCAAATCAAAGAGGGCAGAGATTATTAGGGATCTTCTTTCTTCCCATCATGTAATAATTCCATGATTACCCTTTAAAAACAATTCTACATTTAACCAACCACTTCTCCAAAATGCCAAGGTCAATTGAATTCTATTTCTATTCTCCAAAGAGCTAGCCACCTGATCTAGAGTTGGTGTCACTGAGCAAAGGCAGCCCTGGAACTCTGAGTTCTAGTACTATGCCAGTGGCCTGCTAGATGCTCCTGAATAAGTAATTACCGTATCATCTTTAAGGGGAGGGTGATGATAAGATGAAGATGATGCTAATACTTTATAAGGTTACACGGGATTTTGCTTCAAGAACTTCAAAGCACTTTACAGATACTAATTTGTTCACCCTTTAAATACATTGGGGAACAGTAAATTTACCCTGGTATAAATAATAAACCTATGTACTTAAAAGCAAAACAGTATATGTGTTTATAACACAACATTTGCATTAAGGTCAAAAAGACACAATGCTATTTTCCAACAATGAATTTTTTCTAATTAGAAAAAACACAGGGTACTATGAAAATTTATTTAGACAGAAAGTGTTTTGCAGTTCACTGCAGAAGACAGTGAAGGATAACAGTCATGTTTTACAAATTCATGAAATACCAGTGTGTTCTTCAGAGGAAGGAATTGTATTTCAAGAGTTCATTTCATCATATGACCCTGTGTCCTGGATAGGATCCCTTTTTTTGGACCAGGCAAAGGTTCACAATGTGTTAGCTATGCAATAGCTAGCATATGAACCTGCAGTAACTCCACCATCAGAGACATCTCTAATATTACAAATTATTACGGGCACTTCTTACTACAGCACTTACTAGAGACATTGGAGCATGAATGAATCTGATGGTGTCAAAGGAAGTAATAAAGAAATGTATTTAACAAATTATGTAAGAAGTTTCTTTAAAAAAAATCCTTGGTGGAACTTAGGTGTTTATCAGTTATCAGTTTTTATGAAACCGTTTGCTGAGTAGTTACTATGTTGAAACTTTAGCTATGTATCACTTTTCTCAATGTTTCAAAGAAATTAAAAAATATATATTTATCAGCTGTCATGGCAATATTTATTTTTAGTTTATTTTTTACTAGGGCATTGTCATTACAAAGTTATTCATAGTAAAGAAGTAAAATTTTGAAATTTAGAATGTGTCCTGGTAATTCATGAAAAACCCCAAAATCTGAAATTCAGAATATATCCTGAATACATTTTAAATGTATTTAGAATGAAAAAAACAAAACCTCTTAAGAATTCTCTTAAAATAATTAAAATTCTGTTTTATTTGCTGACTTCTGGCACCAAAACTGAATGAAAAATTAAGGTAAATGGTTCTGATTCCTCTGAAACAGGGATTTTGCTGTATGACTGAATTATCTGTATTTGTTCGGCTGGACTAGCACAGGCATTATGACTGCAGAGAACTCTTCTAAAACTCTGCTGGGAGGTTAGTAAAAGAGAACTCGTAGCTCTGGCTTTTCCTTTTTCAACAGAACTGTATCATCCAATTTCTTTAAAAATTCCTAAGCCTATTTTAACAGATGCTCAACTACCATCCTGGTGCTTAAGGATGTAAGATATACCCTCCTAGGGAACAGGAGGCAGGAACCGGCAGCATGGTGTTAGAGGCTCCCCTTCTAACCTGCTCTAACTATGTGAGCCCCCTAAGAGAGCCCGAAATTCCATCTTCAAAAACACAAGTTCGTTCTGCTTCCTTTGAGACAGCAGGATCACTGAGATGATCCAAAAGAATAACAGCAGCCTCAGGTACAACTGGGGGTCCTTTCTGTTTATTCCCTTAAAGCTGACTTCCTATGGGGCAGTGAGAGGTTTTTTCCCCCCCCTAAAAACAGGAAGGTAAAGCAAAGAAGTTTGGAAACCTCTGTTTAAAGCCATGGCAATTTGACACAATGTAATACCAAAACCAATCTACAAATTCCCTATTATTTCATCACAAAATTAAGTAAAATTAATTCAATAGATCTGAATGCTATCCAGCACACTGTCAATCAAAGAACATCAGATAGATCCATCAATCAACATGACAGTTATGCAGAAGATGGATGGCTGCCACACCCAGAAGTAGAGAGAAGAAAAGTGCCTGCCATCGGGGCTGGGGGAAAGGGGTGGGAGAGGTGCCAGGAGGTGGGGTTGGCAGGAGG